TAGGCCGCTCAACCACTTGCGTACTTTGCTTTAGTCATTGGGTGAGATTTCTTCATTAAGTTTCACTTCTTGTACGTTAATTATACTATTCGTCCAAGGCTCCTTTGGATCATGTCAAACCAGTCAATTTCTTTTCAAACCGAGATCATGTGGACACACTACAGAAGGTCCATTGTACACCTTACGCCATCACTCCAAACCAGACTGCGTTTCATGTTCACCGTTCACTAGAGTATGCGCATTAATTTACTTCATGCCGTACCAAAAGTGAGCTGGGTGTTCAGCCACGTGGAAAACACCAGACAACCCGAACTTCTACTTCTATGACCTGCGCGATGAAAGTCTACATTTTTTCGCTAAATTCGGTCAGCCTCATTCAAGCTACGCTGCTTACCTCAGTTGTACCTGACCGAAAAGTATCACTAGGTGTCACAATTTGAAAGGTCACATCAATCTGGATTGAAGCATATGGAGGACGGAGTTGGTTGTCCGCGAAGGACTGTAATTCTAAGGGATACTGTGTCGCCCCCGGGACACTGAACCATGGACCCTACATCCCGGAATATATCACCTCTGGAACACTACAACCCCCCAACTTTTAGAAACCTGCATGAAGAAAAGTGCTTGTGAGAGATTTTATACAATTCGTTATGATCTTTTCGCTGGGTGCCTTTTCGCACCATCATGCCATACTTTTAAACCACGCTGCTCAGAATACAACAGAACGGCCTCATCATATGATTCCGTTGATAAAACCAACACAGCCTATTGGACACTTGCTCCATTCGCTGAAATTGAATTCGAAAATTGCTACTACTGTGCCCTCAAAAATGTAGACTGAACCCTACTTGGATAGATTATTATTCTCTAAGTCTCCTTTTTTACCTGAGTAATGCCAGATCAGTTCAGTGACTACATGTCCAGGAGCACGACCTTACACTTTGTGGGTGCAAAGTGCATAACAAGGGACGGAATGACTTTCGTCAATTCATTCAAAAACACTTGCGCCTTCTCCTCCTCTTCGAAAATAAGAACAGTGTCGTATGCATATTCCAGATCAACAAGGTTTTCGACACAGGCCATTTGAACACCGGGGTTTTCGAAACCTTCCAGCGGTCGTCTCATGGTTTCATCCATCACGAGCTTAAACAGGAATTGGGACAGTGGGACTCCCTGACGGACCCAACCACGGAAGCTTTTGGAGAGCTCGTCGTACATCCCATGCGCCAAACAATGCACATAGGCCAATTCGAACAAATTACATATTCGAACAAAATCCGAAGCCATTCCTGAGTGGCCTGATAACGTCAAATAGGCTTTAGTTTAAAAGTACAACCTTCAGGAGTTGGCAGTTAGAGTCAACTACTTCCTTCAACTCACTGCCAAACCCAGATTAATGTATGATTACACCATTCGCGTGGATTTATCTGCAGGCTTTTCGCAAGCAAAATGCCTTAGGCATTTATGCAAAGCGGTCCGGGTCAAGCGACCATTTGCCAACTTGGGCCAAAATGCCGAATAAGCGGTATGCACTCTAGAAAACTCAGGTTGAATGAACTGAGCCATCCAAGGATCGTGTGGCACAGCAGTATCTAGTTGTTGCTTCTGTCCTTCAAACTCTGTTTCTCCTCGATGTACAGCGCAGCGCAGTCAACCAGAACTTACTTCCTTACCAGAATTTCAAGCGGGTGGCACGATACGACAGGCGACGTTAACTTGAGTCACAGTTATCGAATAAATGGTACAAAGAAGATTCTTTAAGATCTCCCGTTGACCTCGGTTAAAAAGCTCGATGGAGCATCTGACCAGATATTTCTTCGAACAGTGCAAACGTAGTATCAGTCTCCATATGTGTTCCTCATTTTGAGTGATTCATGTGTATTTCTTGGCCGATAGAATACCTAAAGTAATCTCCCAAGAAAACTTCCAGTAGTGACCACCTTTTAACTGAACAAGCACACTCATTTGCAAAGTGCATTGATATTGAAGAAAAGCTCACATGAGTTACTCTAAAATGATATTTTCTAATTTGATTTGCAAGTGATCGTATTAACCTAAACACCTACAATTTTGAGTTCAAGCAAGACATAAGGCTGAGAGAAACTTGGGGATTTCGCCTGCCTGAAGAACTCCAGTTAAGTTGAAACCGGCAGTTGACCCGGACTTTTTCTGCCACCATATAGCTGGAATTTCTTCCAATAAAATGACTCTTTTGTAGTTACGCGTTACGCTTCAGCCATAACCTAGTATATGGTGCACCGCAGGTGTGTCAGCCTTATTGAGAAGGCCGAATGTCATCATTTCTTGGAGCACCCTTCTTTGAAACACTTTACTATAGGTGAACCTAAATAAACAAGTGTTAGTAATGTGTCCCAACTTTATACTGTTTGGTAGGCCGGGACGGTGATTTTCTGCTTGATACAAGCAATCACACAGAAGGAAGCCCATAAAATGCTGTTGTCCGGTTGGCTGATTAATTTTACACTACTGATTTATTAAGCGGTTTTTTGTCGTGACGCAGAACACCTTAGTCAATAAGTCGTCTTGGTAAGTGAGAAACCGGTAGCATCTTATATGAGTGATGCTCGGAATTTGGTCGAGCTATGGGGACTGTTCAGCATGCTTATCGAAGTCCCCCCGGCTGGTTAGTCAAACTGAGCATTTAAACCACATCTCTCGGTCACACAGTATATAGTAAGTCAGTAGTATCTGGCTTTCAGGCCTAATCAAAATCATGCTTGCCCAACTTCTCGAATATGCATGGCTTTGGGCTTACTGTTCTGCGTTTCTAATCAACCGCACTTGATTGACAACTCGTAGAGTTTTCGGGTTTTCTTGTTACGGACAATCGTCCAGGTGTTTTGACACTTTGTCTCACCAGTGTTTCTTGTGAATGAGGTGTGAACATCTGTTTGGACCTGAGCAAATGCCAAACGCGGGACAGCTGGAAATTGATTGGCAGACCGGTTCTTCCACACAGCACCCGATCGCTTTGCCACGAATTGTTAATAACTTAGGAGAAATCGTGAAAGGAATTCCCTGTGGTTTAGCGATTACGAGGTTTAGTATACTGTTCTCCAATTCTATCTGAACATGCAACCCCGTCTTGGTGGTGTCATTTCCAAACTGCGGTTCTTCATTGTTGTGCTGTTCACAATGGCTGTCTGACTACCCGTATCGCCGACAAAATACCGACCAAAGTTTTCGATTATTTTGTACGTTCTTCACTTAGAAACGTCAGCTAAACTAATAATACCAGGGTTTATAAAATCGGGATACAATGCCAGAAATACACTTCCTCACTTGTTTAGTGGAAAATGGCTGGATAATGCACACAACTGACTGTGATACAAAATAAGTGTGGTGACGATGCGTAGACGCACATCTATTCTCATCAATCAGGAAACAGCTGCCAGATTCCCAAAATACGCCAGTTTTTAACCAGCATGTTTTGAAGGATTGGAATTGTCGGTCGATCATTCATCAACCCCTCACAGCTTGCTGCCATAAATTTGTTGGCTGTTGCTTTCATATTGAACGTTTCGGGTCGGCATCCATTGACAGGGTACTGGAGAGTTTGGTCTAAATTTCCATGACGAACTTCCCTTATACATAAGGGAACGGAATAACCGGAGCTGGGGAACCTCGTCTACCGCAATATACGTATAGTTACATCCTCACAGTCAATTTGTCTTTAGCAAGAGGATACAGACCATTTCACCGAACACGACAGCGGTGAATAATCCTTTCAGGTTCATTTCCAAATAAATCTGGTCTTCTGGAACTGGACGAGAGTGGATCGATAAAACACTGTTATATATCGATAAAGTGCGTCTGTTTTCCCTATCAAAAGACCAGCTCCCAACCAGTTCCTACAGCCTCTTACCCATCCCAGTAAACATTAACACGCAATCGGGGACTCATAACCTGAGGATACATATCAAGACGTGAATCGGTAAAAGTAACGTCACAGGATAAAGTTTTATAGACACCGGATTAGAAAAATTGCATTTTGTAATCGCTATTCAGCTAGAGTCAAGCGGGAGAAGAGCCAAAACGTTTTCGACTTCTCTGAGGAGTTGCCTCAGTCAGGAATCATTTTCCACCAAATAGTGACTGATGAGGGACGTTACCGTCGTCTCTCCATGGCAATAAGCTTTCTTCGGGGTGGGGTGGGGTGGGGTTGGGGGTTGACTGCTTTTAGAGCATAAACGACTTCATAGTTTTTCATTTGTATGAGCTAAATGAAACAGTTTTTGACTTGGCAAAACACTACTCACTGACAAAGCCATAGGAGACGAGCTTCATCTACAGACTGCAACTAACTTGTCCAGTAATCCGTCGTCGTCCTTGAGTAACTTATTGAAGTATAACGAATTTCTTTTGCTCTTGTGGTCAGATGGGTGAGATATAATTCAAAGTGGAACGTCACATATGTAGACCCCAAGAGCCGCTTTATAACATCACTCCAGAGATGGCGAGGGATCTTACGGACGCGATTACTTCTTGCCCACGCAGCAGTCCGTAATTTTCGAAACAATATATTAGTAGTTCCTGCTTTAGCAAGAAAACTAACTGATTCCACTTTGGAAAAGCAACTACAATGATAAAATGAGCATAGCTAATGACAGACTACTTTTAAATTTGTGATCGCCATTCTAGAATGTGGTCATATCGATTCTTTGAAACGATGGTGTCCCATTGTGGTGAGATAACATAACACAGACTGGATTCACTTTTCATAGACAAAAATATACCGAACCATATACCATATTACCAAAAAAAGAAGTGAAGTTTTTCCGGGCAAACAAAAGAAGGGCGTCTTTACAGTTGAGCTACCTGAGTGCAGTACCTACCTGTGCGAAAGTTTGGTGTGCACACGGAGTCATACTTTTTCTAATTTTTGACACAGGTAGTCGTTGATCACAGAGTAATTCATTCGTAATGTGCCTTCAGTAAGGACACGAAAAGGTAGATTTGCCTCACCCAGGTGGTCAACCTCATTTTTCCAGAAGTTCCTTCAAGGCTTTTATGTAGTTGATGGCACCGCGAAGAATTTCCACCTTTGCCAGTCTTCGATCAGGCATTGTATTGAGTGGCAATCGCCTTCTTAGACTTTCATAGCCAGCATTGACACACCGCACTCGCTCGCGCTCTCTTGCATTTCGGCGGCGAATGAAACTTTTAGCACACTCAAAAGGAGGCAGTGTACCGTTATGGGAATCGATAGGCACTGCAAGTTGCTCAATGCCAGTGGAAGTATGAATTGGTGAGGAACAGTCAGAGTTGTGTCGACTGTTAGTAGATGGTGAACACTCATCATCATCTGGTGGACAGGAACAGTTGCATGGCCACGTCTGTGTTAGCCTAGTTGAATTTCTTTTTGACCCTCTTTGAGACTTTGTTGGTTTCCCCATTTTTTCCATCTCATCTGATTCAAAAGACTTGTTCGAAGGGTTTTCAGACCGTTTGGTTGTGATATAAGGTTCTAAGTTTGACGAGAAATTTGGTGAGGTAGGCGGCAGGCCGTTCTGTGCGGTATTTAGTCGAGCATACGACAAGCTGTTACAAATGATGGCTGCATCATGTTCGTATGGAACGTTTGGCGAAACATTAGTGGTACCCATAATTGCGGCTGCCAAAGTAGATGACGTTGGATAAAAGCCAAAGCGTTGACTTGCTTCGCGCGTTACAGCATCGTAGTAAGCCGAATACGCCTGTAATTTTGGTTGGTTAACTTCAGCAGCAGCCGCTGCGACTGCCAGGAACGGATGCAGTTGTTCATAAGAGTTAGGAGGGAACAAGCCTGTGGGAAACGGGAGAGCCGGCTGTGAGGAGTGCATTGGAATCGTCGGTTCGCTGAGCGAGTCTTTGCTGGATGGTGTATAAATGTCCTTTCGGTTAGTTGTAACGCTGATTTGGGCGTTCTTGACTCTTATTGGTGTTTGAACCAGGTTACTCCAGCCGTGCGGCAGGAAGGTAGCGGGAACATGTTGTCTCAGACGTAGCATCTAAGTCCCAGCCAATAGGGGTCATCGTAGGCATGAGATGCGCCATGAGCAGCTGTTCCCTAGGTATGTCTCAATGCGATTGGTCCGTACCAAAATTACACGCTCATTCCTGAGCCGTAGTTCCACCACCACGCGCGCCTGTCCCTTGTGTGACAGCAGGTATGAGCAGGCATGGGCGTACTCTCTGAAATCGACCACTGGAGAAAACGACCGACAATCAATCAAGCCCAAACAGCTGAAAGAGGTGCATTGCCATACGTACCAGACACAACGGAATTCAACAATCTTTCTGTTGAAACAAAATCCCGAATTTATGTTCATCACGATACGTACGCGTCTAGTCTCAAAAACAGATCATATACTGGTAAACGACTATTCGTGCCATTGGAAAGCAAACGCATAATTCAATGGGATATTGTTGAAAATAGTGAGTGCCGTGTGGTGTAAAATATGGATTTCATAAAGTTGAATTGATTGAATAAGTCCTTTAAGGAGGTTGCTCACGGAAAACAACACGGCAACACCTTATTCAATGAGATATTATTAGAAGTCAGTGGTGCGCACCGGGCCAAAAATACAGATGATGAATGCAAATAAAGTTTATGACTAACCAATACCTTTCAAAGGAGGAAATTTGGAACAAGTTGCATCGGGCCCCGGAAGGTGCAGTTGAGATGCCAGTGTCGGGTTCAGACCGATGACCTTCCGGTCAGTTCGCGCCTTAAACAGTGAGCTAGCTAGAGCTGTTTCCGACATTGGTGGTAAGTGACAGATCCCAGCTCCAGGGTTAGATGTCAGAAATGAGTTGTGCAGTGCATTGTTCAAGCGCAACTTCCACGCATTGTACTCATCTAATTCATTATTGCGAATCAACGTGCTCCATGACTTAATCTGTTGCTGCTTCATTCATTTTGCAAGCTGAGAAAGAGCTTCAAGCCAGAACAATTGGTTGCTTCATGTTTTCCTACTGAAACCGATTTCATTCGTACGAGCGGCAAGCTGGTATATCTTCCATGTTCTTAGAAAATCTGATTTCATAGATAAAGACGGTGTAGGTCCAGTGTCACCACCAGGCTGCATTTTTTCAAACCATGGTAACTTGGTTCAAGCCCGAGGCCTGGCTCCAGGTGTGGTTCCTCACTTTCTATTACTTCAGAGGTGGTGTGGACTCTGTATTCTGTCCTGAGAGCGATATCATCAAAAAAAAATTTCATTCAGCCCTTACCTACTCTTAGCTAAGTTCCATTCAAAGGTATGTAGATCAGTGGCAAGAGTGATCACTCGACACTATGTACTCATAGAGGCATCGTACATACGTAGACAGCTCAAAGTGATGAGGAAACACAAGCCACTGCATGTGACCTTAAGCAGGCTCAGTTCAACAGCCGTCTTGGCTGATGGGGGGAAGCAAATTCTTCAGCATGAAATGACCATAGGTTCGTGAACCAAAAGATCAGCATCACAGCCGATGGCATGTGGGGCTGAGATAATGACGAGGGAACACTCACCAGCCCTGTACTTCTGCCTGCTCTCATTTCACACTGCTCTGTCGATCTAGTTAACTGGATATTGAACAGTCACATGAGAGCCGCTTGGCGAAGTGGGATACCTTTGCGATGACCAAACTTCCTGTGGGTTTATTCTCTTCACATTTTGAGGTAAGCATGGAAATTATCGTAGACAGCAAGAGTAACCCTCTAGGTGTCGCAAGATAGAGCACGGAGCCTAGCTTGGTTTCAACCGGCAATGACGGAGAATATAAAAACAGAATATACCTTTCCATCTCCCTTTAACTTGATTCACACAAGTGTTTTCAGCGGTTTTATATGTAGTATCATATCAGGGTTAATTTTCAGTGTTTGCCAGCAATGATACCAACCCAAGACAAGGATAATCCACAAAGTCACTTTTACCTTGTACCGTTCATTCGGACAAAAGAGGAATATCAGCTAAGAGGCTTCTGAACCAATTGGTGAACGGCTTGGACCCGGGAAAGAACGAGCTTACCATATTTTCATATCCTACTTGCAATACCCATTCGATCAGGTCATTAGCTTCGCCCAGATCTTCTGCAGCTAGATCGGAGGTCATTAAGAGGCTGTATGCAAACCATAACGTTGTGTGCAGTGTTTCCCGTATTCACAACAAGTGTGATACTAATCAGCCAGTACCCGTTCCGATTAAATTTTACATATCATTACAGCATTATCCTACATATCCATGTACTCCGCATTGGATGTGTAAATTGGGATGCCTGTGCCCCATCGTTTTGAGAAACTTTTCTGCTATTATCTGACCTCTAGGTCACATAGTCAGTGTTGTTTTGAAGTAGATCTATACTTTTTTCTGTCCAAAGCTATTCATAAATAGCTGAAAACTATTTTGTTACGTTAACAACACGTGAACAGCGAAAGTAGGCCTAACCCTGGTTTAAATCTCACATCTTGTTTGCAGTCAGAAGCATTTGAATGCCATTGTGCACCATAAATAGAGTGAGGCTTTAACTTGCGTCGTTTCTGATGTCTTACTGAGCCGTGAAACTTCTCAATTTTAGATTTAATTTAAATTTTAAATTTTGTGACACATAGTATACGACTTTTGGTAACTCAGGCTTTTTCTGGATGCCTGTAATTCATAAACAAATGAGGATACGTCAGATCCACGCAGTATATTGTGTATGGTAATATATAGAGTTGCAAATTTTTGTGTACAGTAATGCCCCAAGGAAGAACAGCCCCTGAGTCCTCTCTGAATAAGGGTATTTGTCTGGAAAGTTCACTTTTCTATTTCATTCAACTCAAACGAGTGGTTTTTAATCTATCGCATGTCAACCCTAATGATATCTGATATACATCATACCCAAGGTAAAACGGTTGCACAATTTTTGTCTAGTTTTGGAGCATTAAGGGCACCGTGACAAGGCATGAGAGCTAAGAAGGAAATTCAGTGCAAATCCGACAAATTCGCTGACCCACACCAAATCCTTGTGACCTGTCGTGCATTGAACACACTGAACTAGTTGGATTGAGCGATCGGTAAATGGGCGTTTGGACAAAACGGCAGTAGGACAAACCGGATCGGCCAAAGTTCTTCGTAGAAAATGTGATGGAAGGAAGAACGATTCTACCTCCAAACCTGTTGGTTCCGTGTATCATGCTATGAACACACTGTGAACACTGGATGCTATCCTGGTAAAAACATCAATAATAAATGCGTTTAGAACCAGGTTTGTTCACGTTTGATATCTGGAAATGATTCGCTGTTCACAGTTTAACACATCCACACTGGAGAACGCTCCCCGAGTCCATATCACACCCGAGAAAATATATTGTGAAATTTCACGCTGTAAGAGCTTCCACCTTAAACATTTGGTGAAACGAAGCTTTAAAACCGATACTGTGGTTTAGGTGGTTGAATTTGTATCGGAAAGAAGAGAGTATAATACATGCAACAACTGATTCGTTCAAGTTGAGGCTGTTTTTGGGAGAGTTGTAGTGAGACAAAGGAATGTTTCTCACTCTAACCATGCCTTGACAGTTGTTGAATCATTGATGTTTTACATTACTGGCCAGACATCATTGTTTAAAATGAAGCGGCTTCATAAAAGATTAGGTTTTTGCAGGTGTTGACAGCAGTCAAATCGATTGTACACATTACAAACGAGATGGACGACCAAGTGGTTAGAGCTCGAATTTACCGAACGGAAGGTCCGTGGTTCGAACCCGACCTCTGCCTCTCGACTTCCTCTGTCTAGGCTTGGGCAACCTGACAGTATCCCAGCCCTCGTGCAACCTTCGTGTGGCGTGGCAGCTAGGCACCGAAAGGGTGCTACAGCTGGACGATTTTTATTTTATTTTTATATTACAAAGCCCATCATGAAAAAGGCAGCTAGAGAATATGAACCCAAACGAAACTTTCGAGGATCACATGTCGCCCCACAATGGCAATATTTTCATATGTTTCAGTCATGTGCATTTGTTTGCGTGGGCGTTTGCCATACATGCAAACAGTGCTGCGGCGTAAGAATGATTTGCAGCAGGCCAGTCAGCATTCCAGTATTTTCTGTAAGTAATTTCAATCATATCCTCTCCTTCTTGAGGTCCGGATGATCAAGCTCGTTTAAATGTATAGTTCACATTCAAATAAGAATATATGCTTCATTGACTGAAGGTATTTACAAACCATCAACCTTTTTCTCAGTGTTACGGGAAATGCGGCTACTTCTCCACCGAAGTTAACCAAAACTGACGAGTAGTCAGTGTGAATTAGCAGATGAGAAATGACGCACTTCCAAACGCAATATCTATGTTACTTTATAGAGTTCGTCCCGGTTCCTCCCAAAAGCCGCCCTGATATTTTTATGGTAGTAAATCTTCTCGCAATTCAGTCTTTAGTTGACCTTGGTTTGAAAAACGTGGGCCAGATGAAGAGCCATTAAATCTACTCAGGATGAAAATGGAAAAATAAAATCTGCTGGGAAATTGAACAAGTTGAGCCTTCCTACAGATCTTAGCTGAGATTTGAGTTGTGACCTTGACTCAAAAGTCAGTGCTCAGCCATCTTTACCGAACTCCGCCACCGAATATTTTACTTGTCTTGTCAGTAAAGAACACGTCCACAAAAGCCATCGGTTCCCAGAATCGCTAGTTGAAAGTTGAGAATTTTATAAACTACTCACAAGTAGACAACTTTCATTACGATGGCTGTCGTGCCTCACGATAGACGTTTTGCCGAGGGTCTGCGGATTTACTTAACTGGTGAACCGTTCGGAGTCTGCCAGGCAGCAACTGAATTTCCAAACATATCCGTGTTTTTCCAAGGATGTGACTTATACGGCAGTTCAGAACATTTACCACTGGAGTGAGTGTAGATTTTTACCTTACATTGACTAACTCTAAGCCTCTGAACTTTGGAATCCGGTCAAGTAATCCTGTCACTTTTATGTCATACAAACCAAACGTATCTTGAACATATTGAATCGAATTGTTGAATTCGGAAGC